AGAGTATTAATGCATCTTTATCTTATGTGGTCTGAATATTTTGAGATTTTGCCTCTCATTATCAAAATTTTCGGTGTGCTTGACATGGTATTCATATCATGTGTCAGAGGCCGACACATTTGTTCTCATTGTTCATGTGCCTAGATAATACCATGTTTATGTGATCTGTCTGAAATCAGAAAACAGTGAATCAGGGATTCTCAGTTCTCTTCTTGCAGGGCATTGTCTAAACAATCATGTACTATGTTATTACAACGATATCAATTTGCAGATGTATTTATGGATTCAAATTGTAATCTTTCATTCAATTAAATATATTTTTGTTGATGTTCAATTCTCCTCCCGGATTGGGGACTGAACGTTAGAAAACAGCATTTTTATTACTTTCCAGAACAATGGAATCGTCGGTTTTAACTTTTAAGCCAGCAGTTACAACCCATGTGGCGTCTGCTTTTGTCGGCATGTGCCAAGCTGCGCAGTTCTTGAAACAGGTTACCCTCTTAATTCAAGGAAGCTTCTCCAAACTACCTAAGTGAGTTTGTTAATATTCCATGCTTCAAGGATAGAATTGGGATTTTTTTTTCCTTTGAAATAAAAATATGCCTTGATTTGTCATCAAGGGATGCTCATAGCACGTGATTTGTTTCCCAATTGCTTGTTTGCTCATCTATCTTCATTACAATATTCATTCTCACAACACAACCCCCAAGCTCCCCTCCTTCATTTCTGCCTTGGTTTTGTGATCAAGAGATGTATCCTTTTCCCGTGTCACATGGAATTTCCCATTATTTGCTACTTTTATACTCTCAAACCACATTATTTGAGACATTGTATTAATTGCCTCAATAACTAGTTCTAAACAAGCAAAGATTTTTGAGATTATTGAGTCCCAAACTTATTTCTTATATGTATATAATGTCTAGGTTTATTTAAACTTTAGTATTGTTTATACTTAGCATTCATTGTTTACTTCATATTAAATCTAAAATTAACTCCTATAAAAAAATATAAAATTAACATAATTAGTGTGAATGATAAAGTAACTTATTGTTAATTTATTGAAAAATGATTGGTACACCCTTGATTGTACACACATGATTCAACACATTTTTTGGCATACTCTCGGTTTAGTTATTAAAAATATAATATAAATACAATTAATTCAATCGACTCCTGTATCTTGCGTACACCCTTGGTTCCTGTATTTTGTGTACATGATTATTAACAATAAAAAAATTATCATAATGTTTTATTTAACTCATTTGAAAACCCGGGCTTGTCTTGCATAACTCGGAAGAGGTGTAAGTTGTTTCCAAACAGGATGAAGCCCTATCTCCTCAAGCTTGACACATCTCAAGAAGTGGTTAATTACAGTTGTTCTCTCACTTAATTATCAAGGTCAGAGTTCTCTAAATTTTGTCATTACTCTTTTTATATGAGAAAAGTTGATTTCAATAGTTCAAATGGTTGTTTGAGCCATATGAGACAATTTAATACTTCTCTACAACAAATATTGTACTATTTTCTTTCAATCTTTTAATATCTGAAAATTATATTAAATCTTGATTAATTTAAAATTAAGATAGATTAAAACCCATAAAAAAAAACTCTTTCAACATTTATTTTTTCATTTTTAAAATTTACATTTAAGATTTTATTCAAGAAAATCCAGTGTTTTCCACTTAATTTAATAGTTAGTAATATTATATTATTAATAAGGCATGGAAACACTAACTCATTTAAAAAAAAAAGAAGTTCTATCTCATCCATGTGCTCCAAGAATGAATGGAATGTGGCTCTCCCTGTAATTTACATAAAATCCAATATCATTTTTTAAAAGACTTTTCTTTGCTTTCTGTTGTGTATACCATAGACTTGTCTTCTTGTTCCTTCCTCACTCACTCTCACAACTCTCACCTGTGAAACCATCAAATCACAGAGCTCTGCAACACAGCCACAATGCGGCAGCTGCAGCTCCTCATCCTCCCCTTCCTATACTGCCTTTTCCTCTTCCAAACCTCCAATGCCCACAACATCACCAGCCTCCTCGCGAAACACCCATCCTTCTCCACCTTCAACCACTACCTCTCCCTCACCCACGTCGCCCCTGAAATCAACCGCCGCACTACCATCACCATCCTCGCCCTCGACAATGCCGCCATGTCCTCCCTTCTCTCCGAAAATCCCTCCGTCTACACCCTCAAAAACATCCTCTCCCTCCACGTCCTCCTCGATTACTTCGACTCCAAGAAACTCCACCAGATCACCAACGGCACCGTGCTCACCGCCACCATGTTTCAGGCAACTGGGTCTGCCCCGGGAAGTTCTGGGTTCATCAATATCACCGAACTCAAGGGTGGCAAAGTTGGGTTTGGAGCGGAAGACAATGCTGGGGTTTTGAACGCTTACTTTGTCAAGGCATTAGAGGAGATCCCGTACAACATTTCCGTGATTCAGATCACCAAGGCTCTGCAATCAGCTGCAGCGGATGCGCCAACGCCTGGCCCGAGTGAGCTTAACTTGACTGATAAAATGTCGGCTCACGGTTGCAAGGTGTTTGCTGATACACTGCTGTCAAATCCTGAAGCCATGGGCACTTATCAGGTAGTAATTTTAGAATGATGACATTTTGTGACTTTTGTCATTCAGATGATTTTTTTTTTCGGTACATATAGAAAAGATTAAACGAGAAACTTTGATTTATAGTTATACTCGTAGTTAAGAATATAGATAATGCTATTAACAAAATATATAATTAATGGTATTTAATTATTTATATGAAATATGAACTATTTTAGAGTTTGGTAAAATATTTTAGTTAAATATTTAATTTGGTTTTTAAATTACTATATGAACTTTCGATTTGATTTCTGAACTAAAAAAATTTTTAATTTGATCTCTAAATTATTATACAGATCCTTAATTTGATCCTTATTGTTTATCCATTTACTTTAAGTTAGTTATCTATACAAAAAATAGCTGACATATCTTATTATTAACGTGACAACTAATCGTTAAGTTACTATTTTTTATCATTAAATTATTATTTTCACCTTTAAATAATGGACATGTCAGTTTTTTTTTTTTTTTTGTATAAAAAAATTAATTTGAGGTAAATTAGTAAACAGTAAGGATTAAATTGGGATCTGTACAATAGTTTAAAGACAAATCAAGGATTTTTTTAGTTTAAGGACCAAATCAAGCATCCGTAGAATAGTTTAGGAACCAAATTAGAGATTTAACCAAATATATTTTCACTACATAATAGTTTCTAATTAGTGAGGAAATGACATTGTTGCAAAATTGGTTTCCAGGATAATATTGAGGGAGGATTGACAGTTTTCTGCCCTCTTGATGAACCAATGAAAGCATTTTTGCCCAAATACAAGAACTTGACCGCAGCAGGGAATACAGCTTTCCTCGAATTCTTTGGTATTCCTGTATACCAATCTATGTCAATGTTGAGATCCAACAATGGCCTCATGAACACGCTGGCAACTGATGGGGCAAACAATTTCGATCTCACTGTGCAAAATGATGGGAATGATGTGACGCTCAAGACCAAGGTGAACACCGTGAAGATCACTGGAACGTTGCTGGATGAGGAGCCGGTGGCAATCTATACAATCGATAAGGTGTTGATGCCTTCGGAGTTGTTTAAGGCAGCTCCTACTCCTCCTCCTGCCCCAGCTCCAGTAGAGGCTGCAGATAAGGGAAAAGCTAATGCAGCACCAACACCAGAGGCAGACTCACCAGATGGGGATCCGGCAGACCAAACGGCTGATAATAATAATGCTGCTGGGAGAATTGAAGCTGAAATTTTTGCTGCTGCTGGTGCTGGATTGAGCTTGTTGTTAGGGCTTTTGTAAGTCTTATTTAATCATTTCTATCTTTTGTAGGAATAATTTAGACCTAATATGGGCTAAGTTAATTAGTAGAGCGATTGTGTTCATTTTTTCTTCTTTCATTTTTCTCTTTTGATAAATGTTTCTAATCTGTGTGTGTATGTGTGGTGAGGTTTCTTCTTGATTTAATTATACCTAGCTGCTGCTTGTAATTTTTTTTCATTTGGGTTGTAAGCTTGGTTAGTATTGAATACCAACAGATGATGTAGATTTGCTGATACACATTATTTGTTCTGTTCCCTTCTTTCTTTCTTTTTTTTTTTTAAAAATTTCTCATCATAGTTCTTTTCTCCTCTTACTTTACCCGTTGCAATTGTTTTGTCTCTTAAAAAAAAAACTAACAAATAACCAAACCAAATGGCTGTTTTGAGTATAGTCCAAATATATACAAAGTTAATCATGAACAAGAGATACTAGCCATTGTCAAGCACAGCTAAGCCATTATGGAAAGACTGACTATATTGAACAGACAAACAGAGTACCATAAGCAGCAAACAGAAATAATGAAAATTAAAATTATAAAATAACAATCAAGCAAGGCAGGTGCAGAATCAAAGATAAGCATTTTCTGCTACTTGGCAGAAAGCCAGAGACACAATTAATAGCCTTCCTACACGTTAAAAAACAGAAGATCCTCTAAAATGCAGACATGGATTCCTGGTATTAGTAATCAGCAACATAACAGGGATTAATCAAGAAATATGTTTCCTGTCTAATTAAGTATGAACCTGAATGAAATTCGTTGGCTGTATCAAAGGGACATAAAGCAACAGAAGCTTCATATATTTATTGTCAATACGGATGGAAGTATCAGAACGGTGACAGTAAACTAGGTTATCACAAAACAAGTTAAACAAAGAACATTAGAGCAATATATTTTAGGTATCCAATGTACTCCTTGGACATCAAAAGTCTTATAATAGAAAACTGACATAGAACTATACCACCAATAAGACTAGCAGGATTGAAAAGGACTGGAAAGAATAAGGGGAAGCTGAATGGCTAGCATCAGGATGAAATATATAAGGACTTGGAGGAGAACAATATTGACAGCACTGGATTGGAGCTGGTGGACAATTAACTTGGCTTCAGCAGGTGGTGGTGGTGGAGTTGCATATGAGGGGTAGCTAGAATGCAGGGATGGTGGTGGAACTCTGTATTAAGGATACCCAGAAAGTGGTGGCAACAGAGGCGGTGAGAGATGGCATGGATATTGGCATATCCTGCTATCATTCAAGACCTACATCCCCTAGCACCCTGGAATCAAGGTTCAAGATAAGATAGAGAGAGTGCTGCAAAGAAATAAATGCGGGAAACATATTCTTCTTCCTTGAACGTTACCGTACCAAATTAAGGGAGATGAGCAGGGAATTACCAAGTTTTGAAAAAACAAGAAAGAAGCTTGATGGTTAAAGCCAATTTTGTTCAGGAGGGATCTGCAGTGCTTGGTTGATGGAGATTCTTGTTATTAAAATAAAAGTAACTCAAACCGTCAATAGATGCTGATGATGATATAGGCTGTGGGAAAAATCCGGCATAGGCTCCGTCTAGCTTTGCTAAGCATAATTCCGTAACGTATCTGGATTGCTCATGTTTCTGAGCAAAAGGTTGTGCTGCATATTTTTCAAATGGCATCCACTGTGGGAGAGGAGAAACACAAGAAAAAGGAAAGTAAATAAAGGTATAAACAGTAATCAGGGACATAAATCATATCAATGAGTTTATAGGACCATTATTTACTGATATATTAGTTAATTTGTACTGGTGGTTGGTTTGATGTCAGGAACTGAAGGTAAGACCAACTTGAACATAAAAGCTAATAGAACCATTTCTTTAGAAGACTCTTTAGCCACAAAAGCAGCAAAACCAAAGCAGGAAAGGACAAAGACTAACTGCTATTTTGTCTCACATCTAGTACTTGTTTACAAGTAGAGAAAAAGACCTCCATACATGAAGCATGCAATACAGGAGATACATAGATAATGTTGTAACTTGTGTTGCCATCAGCTTCAAATTAAAATAAGAATATAAGCATTTGCCATATACTGTTTCTGGGAATGAAGTAGATGTTTGTCAAAGTCACACTCTGAACCTAGAAAGGTAGAAAGTGAGCTTTAATAGAAGAAGAACTATATATGTGAGAAAGCTAAAAAGGTTGAATGCATCACAACAAGAATTAGTTGGATATTTGCTTCCTGTCTCATTTGTGAAAGAAATTCTATCATAATAATGATTTGTTAAAGACAAGACAATAAGTACAAGGCTTGCTGAGTTGATGTAATTGGCAATACAAAAGTACCTGGACTGCAGCGATCTCTTGCTCTTGCACCTGAAGATCAAAGGATAATGGACGCAACATGCATATGATGAATAAATCCGACTTCTCAAAGAATGATTTATGTGATTGTCTGAAGTTCAAGTCAAAACATAACAGATAAAAACAATGAAGGCAAAAAAAATGTTATTGTAAGGTACAGATCCAGGTAAAAGAGGGAATGAAGAATTAAAAAGGAGAAAACATCCAATACTCCATAAATAAGATACACACACACATCACAGTAAGAAATATTGTGTGTGAAGTATACCTGAATCCTAGTACTTCCAAAAATTCTGTGTCAATCTGAGGCAATCAAAATGAGTAGTCTTAGAAAGATGAATAAACAACAGTATAAAAACTTGAGGCATGCGTAACATATATCAATACACATTTATCACTTACTCCAGTTTCTTCTTTGACTTCTCGTACAACTGCCTTAAAGATATCCTCACCCTGTACACTTGACAGCTCCTTAATGTATCACAGAAACATGAACAGACTTTTGTCCTCTTTACAAACCCTTTATGCTAACACGTACCTGTTCAACAGTTCCAGTAGGAATTTTCCAAATTCCTGTTCCTCGGAAACGACCGGTTTTTTCCTGAACTACAAGCAACTAAAACCCAAGAATTTTCCAGTTTCAGAACCAGCAACACAGAAGAAAGATTTGATTGTAAAAATAATAAGAGAAACGTTAGCAACACTCTCTTTAGTAGGTGATTTTGAACACTAATTCATGTGATTGGTCCACATAACATCTATTTCTCTATTATTTGTCCTCTTAGTAGACTATTTTGAATTTTAAGCAAGTGTCCACAATTAACAGAAATTAAGTGTTTGACGGGTAGTGTGAAAGAGAGTGTCACTAGCATTCCTAAAAGAATAATGGATCTTAAGGACAAGGAAAGAGAATACCTCTCTGTTCTCATTGAATACAATAGCACCGACACCAACCCGATGTGAAGCATTTGCAGGAAGGGTGTTTTCTGTCTTAGGAATCCAGTAAACAAGCATGAGGTAAGTAGGCTCAGCATGGTGGTACACAAATCCCTCCTAAAATCAATGTGAAATATGTATCAAATGGAACTAAACACAAAAGAAGCACATGTGAGTTAGATATAAGAGCCTGCCAATAACAAAAATTCACTCTCCATAAATCACAATATTGGTCCTCCCCACTTCACCTGAGCTATGCTTAACAGTAGTTGTCATTATTGTACACAGTTTTTTTTTTCTCTTCTTTTGTTTTTTTAAAGTGAGGATTTTCTAAACTCCACCAAGCAGCTCGATGGGTTGCGCGCTTTAATGAGAAGGTGAGAGATCATCTGTTCTGAGGATCGAATCTCCAATTACTAACAATTTTTAACCTACTTAACTACTAACCATTACCGTCAAAAAAGAAAAAAAAGAAAAAGTGAGGATTTTCTAACCCTCAATACCTGATACAGGACATAAAAGAGAGAAATCTGCATGTAACATGAGATGGGTAACTGTCAAACATAGACAGTGGTCAGAAGATTAAAGAGTAGAGCATGTGTTTTTACCCTGACTGCAGTTTCAACAAGATTTGCAAGTCCAATAGGCAATCTAATCCAAACTCCCCTTTTTCCCTGCACAAATAATTACAACTAGTACTATTATTATTATGACAACAGCAGAAGCACAACTCCCAAGATAAAAATGTGAAATATCAAAAATCATGGAACATAATCTCTTCAATTTTAATCATATCATATATAATTACATTAGTGTTGAGAGTTTTTTTTTTTTTAAATAAATAAATAAATAAACCGTTGACTCAGAATTATATTTGAGAAGGCAATACTAAGTAGTAATAAGCACACATCCAAGTTGAACTTTGTTTTACCTGTTTCTTCCATTCCAACATGGACGTCCTCAGAGCCGTCAAAAAGGCGTCGGAGTCCATAGGCTGCTGCATATCCACAATAACTCCACCATCGTTATCACTGGTAGCAGGAAGCAGTTCACCGTGAGGAATTCCATTTTCCCACACCTCCAGTTCCAACAAACTTCCGGACGTGGACATCTGTCAGAATACAAGCTGAGACTATTCCAATGATAAAAAAACACAGGAATCAGCACGACAAAGACCTCTTCAACTGAACCAAAAGAGAGATTAACAGGAAATGATGAAGCAATTGACTGCTAAGGATGAAAGCAACTGAAACGCGGAGATGGAAAGAAGGCAAAAGAAACTCGAGAAACAAACAAACAACAAAGAAAATTCAGAGCGTTAATCCTTTGAAAATTGCAGGGAGAAAGAAATTAATAAAGATTCGAATCCTATCGTTTTCTGCATTCAATCAAAGTTTGGAATATTAAAAAAGCTGTGAGTGGCTGAGTGCTGCTATTTCGTATTCAAATTATTGACTACTGGGGGCAACATACCGGTAGCTAGGTGCGAGGAGTTTAATAAAGGACGAGTAATGATAATGTTGGATGAAAATTTGAGACAAAAAAAAAAAATGAAAATAATTATATAATATATATTATATTATTAATTTTTTTTTATTTAAGTTATACAATAAAAAATAATTATTTTTCATTTTTTATCTCATTTCATTTATGTGTTATGTGATTCGAATTTAAAACCTTTTACTTTCAGTGAAAAAAGA